TATTTCAAAAATTGCCAACATGCATCAAAAAATTCAGAATAAGTTGACAATTCTGATTTATATCTATAAATAAATAAGTAAATAGACATATATATATATATATAAGTATAATATATAAGTATATATGAGTAATAAATTTATTTTATATAGAGTATAGCAGTATCGATGGTAATTATCAAGAGATTATGTGAGATCAACAAGACAGTCTGCATTTGATGTGTCCCAATTTATGATTGGCTCTTAATATTGCAATAGTATTGGTGAGCTTGCATTGAGTTGATGTAAGAATGTCATCCAAGTGATTTGCATCTCAAAGCACGCGCTCCTATACTTACTGTGTGTGTGTGAGAAAGGGACAAATATAGTTGTTGCAGAACGCAGGCCTTAAGGTTGCTGAGCGAGAGCGAGATGGCCTCTGAGGCTATTCGGACATGCTTGTTCTGATTGTCATTGGACGAAGAGAATCAATTGGCTGCCATTGAAGAAAAGCACCGTAAGAAAGACGGCAAAGCGAGAGCTGAGTCAAACTGAAGCAGATCCGATGCACATATTACTTACATGCCAATGAAATAAGTGTATCATACTAATAGTATATAAATTTAACATATACTCTTGTTCAGATCAATCAGTTCTGTAGTTTATATATAAAAATAAGTTTCTTTTAGCTCTTCAAATGCTTTTTTTCCCCCATTTAGTTCATTAAATCAATCGATTTAATAATTTGATTATTTACATTTGATTAATTTACATAATGCAATAAGTAAATTAATTATGAACCGGAATAAATATGCATTAAACATATTTATTTGCTCATGCTTACTAGACGGCTTATTAAATATGCAGAGTATTTAAATTAAATATGCGTATACATATATGTATGTATTTAAATATGTATAAATATAAATATATATAAAAGCATTTTAAATTATTCCAATTACACTAGGCAACAAGCCGTTTGGTAATTGAGTCGATAAATATGATTTCGAGTCTGAATGCAATTTAACTAAATTTAAATTAAGCATTCTGTAATACTTGTGCATATTAGCCATGTAAAAATCATATAACAGTCGCTTTAAACAAAATTGTTCATTTCAAGTTCTGAAAGGTCTTAAAGAGAAAAGCCGATTCCGAATAAGTTTCTATTTCAGTGAAGGAGCAAAAGTTACATTTCTGTTTTACAGTGCTATCAATTACTCTTTATGGTTACATCATAACGGAATACTTTTCATGTATTTGTACTAAATATTTATTGCTTATGAGTGAGAGAGAGAGAGTGAGAGAGACTATCAGAGAGGGAGAGTGTGATGCCCTTTTGATTGTCACTTGAAATTTGAGGCACGTTTTATGAAACTCAATAAAAGAGGTCAAAACACATACATACATACATACATATCTATATATATTTATATATGTGTGCGTATATTTTCATGCACGACAAAGTTTAAGCTGGTAATTGAGTTGAGAGCAGAGAGAGAGAGAGAGAGAGAGAGAGAGAGAGAGAGAGAGAGAGCAGATACTTCCGCTTTTTATTATCTTGTATTAGGGGCAACAAACGGCTCAGATAATGGAAATCAATGTGGGATTTGTTGGCCTCGAAATTGATAAGGAGGCTTAGACGATGCACAGGTCTTCACTTGACATTCTTAATTGGGGTCATATAATTTGGCCGTATGATGAGCGCGAACTGGGCTCATTTGTCTCCATCAAGCCAAAGCGGGCTCTCTTTAAGCACTTTTTAGCTGGCATTTAAGCCAAACAGTTGCGCTTTTGCCTTGGCCAACAGCCCCCAAAAATGCTTAAATGATAAATAAAATTTGCAGGTGTTTAAATCTTGTGCAAACTTCGCTCGGCTAGCGCACTTATGTTCACTTACACACACACACACACGCACACACAGACACGCGATAAGCACCTGCATATTCATAACTCAGATAAGCGCTCCACCAACGACTCCTGCTCCTGCTCCTGCCCTAACTCCGACTCCTGCTCTGGCTCTGGCTCTGGCTCTGGCCAACTTTCAACCTTGATAGCTGAACATTTTCGGGCAACCCAAATTCATGTAAATTATGTTTAAGTGCAGACCCGCCTAAGTCTCGGCTTTGGCCAGTGGGCGTGGGCGTGGCTAGCGTAGCCATACAAACTGCGCAAATGCACGAGAATATGCTTCGCCATAGACGTGTGAGAAATAATATTTTGCTCTGCCCTCAAAAGCCATGAAATTTCATAATTTATAAAACTTGAATATCTAACACAAAAAATGGTTTAAACAGCCTACGTACATATGTATGTATGTATGTGTACAGCCTTGCTTCTTCTTCTCCTGTTGGCCAACAATTGTTGCTGTGTGCATAAATTTGCTGCACTTTTCACACTCGAATTGCAGCTTTATTGCTCTGGCCGAGCAGAGCATGCGAAATATGTGCACATGCGAACATTTCATATGCAGGTAAACCGCATGCAGCATCCACTGCACTCGGTCATTCATGGCCTAGAAGATGATTGATCACGAAATAGTTCTAATTGTAGCCCTAAATTGTAATCAAAAATTTAGTTTTTCATATTCGCCAAAAATAGCTTAGGACAGGTTAAAGGTTTTGTCGACAGATAATGCTCGACTATGAGACACTCTGAGTTCTGCAATGAGCTGATATTCTAATCTCTCTACTGATTCTCCTTATATACTTATATTCACATATATACACATATATACACATACACACAAATACAGCAGCTGTTCGTGAGCTTCACTACGAGAATGTGTTGACTTCCGGTTCTTCTAGACAAACTTTCAAGGTCAGATACAAAGTCGGAATTATACGATGTTTGTATGCAGAAAGCCCCAATATATTCATAGTATAATTCTTATGCGGTACATGATCCATCTAAATTTAATCTGAAATGGAATTTAAACTATTGACTACTAGCACTAGCAAGAAGAGAGAGAGAGAGGAGAGAGAGTGAGAGTGCTAAGCTCTTGTTCCATATAACATCTAAATGATACACTTCTTGACTGAAAATCCTCAAAGGCAACTTAATCTGCCCCATTAAGCTGACTGAGTTTCTTCATCTTTTTTCAGCTTTGCCATTTCTAAGATAGCATCTCTTGTATACCTTAAATCTTGGCATAGGAATATGAATTATTTCGATATATTTGGCAGGCCTAATATGTAGGAAAGGCAAAGGACAAACCATTTTGGAGGTAAAGTGAGCTGATAGCTACAATACTTAAACAAAACCAAACTCAGTCTACTTACCTAAGGCATATGTGGAGTGTATATAAATATTTATAATCAATAAGCAAATAAAATTGATTATTCTACCACTCTAAGCTCATCGATATGATTAAGCTACTGCTGAAATATAATTGCAAATAATCTCACCCCAGCTTGATCGCTCCACATTTCGGCTACTCACTTTCTACAGACTTTGATTCAATATTTATTGAAATATATTTAGTATCTAGATAAATATATTTGGTAACCTGAGTCTTGCACATTTTCAATATATCAAGAGCACAATAAATATTCGGAAATTGTCAACTGTAAATAGGCTCACATAGTCCAGCTCCAAATTATTTCACTACACATGTGTAAGAGATTTACCCAAATGCCGTTTACCTCGTTCACTAAGTTTGTAAATTTTTGTTTATTTTGCTTGTGAGCAAATCCCACTGAACGCACACTTTATGCAGTTTACTGAATACATATTTTTGGCTCAAATTTATTTAGCATAAAAAAATAATATAGAAATGCTGTGCAACAAGAATTTCGTCTTCTATCATTTGTCTTTAAACCCGAAGCCAAATGCAGACAGAAAAATATTTCTCTGCTCATGGCTGGGAGATTTTGTTTATTGCATTGCGCTTTTAATTGATTTTCAATTCGTTCCCTTTTATTTCACTTTATTTTATTTTATTTTATTTTGTGGCTTTTTTCAGGGCGGTTAAAAGTTTCAGTTTGCGAAGAACCAGACTCGAATGGAAGTGAGACAAGTGAGGGACAAAGTGGAGGGAGGAGGGGCTCCACGTCTGTCAGATATGCTGAGCTCAGTAAGGAGGAGTTAAGCTTACAGTCATGCTAGGCATTTCCTATAAATGCATGAACACACACACACATGCAAGCGTATGTAAGTGCAGTGCTATGTGTGCTATAGGATGTGCCTGCTTATACCTCTTAGGAAACAAGCTCAGAGATCTTGGGTGCTAGTTGAACGATGCTACTGCCATTTTCAGAGCTTTATGATGATATGAAAAAGTGTCCTTTATACTAAATATTAAACCTCTACTATGAAAGCTACGTGTATATTGAAGTAAAGGGTAATCAATCTATTCACTATAGAAACTTAAAGCGCAAATGTAATGCCTCTACCACTTAAAGTCTTCTGATGATAACATACAACCCAATTTATAATATCCGTTTCCAGAGAAAAGAGAGATCTCGCTTAAAGAGATAGACAGACGTTCAGACAAATAGGTCATCCTCTTATCAATCGAGCTCGTGTACCCGATGAAGGATCTATGCAGGTAATACTTGATATGCCGCCGTATGATTTATGCTATTGCATTTGGCCATGAAAGCAAAATGTTTTGCGTCTCTGTGTAAAGGCCATTCAAAGGACTTCCATCAGCATTCTGAATGATCTTCCCCTCAACGACCTATATCGAGTGTATCGAGGCCGTAATGGACTATTTAGAGTGCGTAAAGTGAAATCAGTACAGAGCTCCTGTCGTTTCGGTTCTAGCTGTCTCGTTTCTTTTGGAATATGCTTCGTTTATATATGCATATAAATTCAAACATCTTCCACTATACTCTTACGATTACGCTGAGATCTTTTCTATCCAAACACAAAATTAGATATTATCAATACGTAATCTATATGGCATATTCTGACTGATTGACTTTGCATGTCTCCCAAACAGAACCAGACATATATTTTATATATATAAATATTCTTTCCGACATACTCGTATAATTCCAAGTGCAGAGACAACTTAAATTTCCAAGATTTGGACAAGTTTGCTTTGTTTAGCAGCGCTGAAAGCAAAGCAAATTACATTCTGCACTGGCTTAAATGCAAACATGTATATGCGAGTAGGTGGGAGGCGTGGCCAGGACTGCCTCCACTGCGGTTAGTGGCTTTCAGCTGAGATTTCTTTCCGCTAAAAGCGTTTGTACTCAAAGGAGTTAAGTGAGCAGCTCGCAAAAGTGCATCAAATCAGAGAGACAGACAGAGAGAGGGCGAAAAAAAGAAAGAGAGAAGGAGAGCGCACTTTACATTGTCTGTGGCTGCCTTGGCTTTGAGAGTTTTGAGCGCAAATTGCATTTCGGGCGTTGTATCAACAATATCTCTTGGACTGGGGGTACCTGAGCAACGTTTGCTCTGCACACCTGTAGACGCTCTTGAGCACTCGCGCCAGCTTAAAGGAGCGCCTTGTGCAGCGGGAGATGCGTTGTCGCGCCATATCGATGAAGTCGGTGTGGCACAGGAGGCCGGTCTGCTCATCGGCGAACACCGTGAAGACGATGTCGATGAGGTGCGCGGAGAGAGGCACGCCCACGATGACATCCGAAATGCGCTTGAATGTCCTGCGGGAGACGCCTGCGCCGGCTAGGATGTGGTAGCTGAGCGCCGTCTGGATGACCGGCAGGTGCTGCAAGAACGTGAAGAAGGACAGGAACTCCTCGAACGTGACCCCAGGCCGGTTGTGCTCGTACCTCGCATAGGTGCGCTGCAGTATCGCCCTCTTCCGATGTCTCGGCATCCGGGCGTAGGCGAGCAATAGGTTGGCGAAGCGCAGCTCGCTTATCCTGATCGCCGATCGATCAGATGTTTCGTCTTGCGTTTTCCTCGACTTCCTTTTCAGCGCATTGAACTCGATCTGAATGATGTCCTGGAACAGCTGCCGCTTGAACCTGAGCAGGCTGTCCAGGCTCAGCTTCTGATCGGGATCGCCACCGAACAGATAATGCTTCACCGAAGTTTCGAGCCTCATGCGGCCGTCCGAAGCGCCGAAGAGCAGCAGGCTCAGATCGTTTTTGTCGAGCATCTGCTTGCCCTCGCCATCGAGCAACTCGAAGCCCATCTCGAAATACCTTTCGGGCAGCACCACCAGCCGCAGCAGGTACAGGAAGTCCGAGTACGTGAGCATGCCGTCGGGCCGAAGCTTGTAGAATACGCTGTCCCTGGATACGCCCCGGATGCTGAGCTGCTGCACAGAGTCCTTGTGCATTATGAAAAAGTTGTTGAGCCCCAGGCCTTCCGGCTGCATCCAGCTGGGCGACATCGAGCGCACAAAATCCTTGGGCGTCATATAGACAATCCATTTGCCGGCGTTACTCCTCACCTTGATCGTGGCAAAGTAGCAAAATATCTTCTTGTGCGTCGAGTAGGATCGCAGCTGATTCTCGTAGTCCCGTATTGTCGGAGAGCGGAAATGGGAATGGCTTGAGCCGTGACTAGCCTCTGCCTTTAGTAATAGCAGGTTTTTGAAATTTTCTAGCATCAAGTTCATCCTTCTCCCTGGCAATGGCTCATCTTGGAGAACGCCCCCATCACTGCTTGACTTTGTAAGGTTTCTAGGCCAATTCAGGCAATCGGCTGTAATTAGGAGCATATAAAACTTGAGGACTTGGAGACGTTTTTTGGCTAAAGGCCAATGGCTGCCATGTTGATTCGTCCATTTCCGTAGAATTGTTTTGCATGCGACTCTCATAATACTGCCTAGGGCTTGAATCCCAAAAATTTTGAATTTGACATTGATTTCAAATAACTTTTATATCTCATTTTAATTAATTTACTCGTGAGAGGATCTAGAGAGTCAGTTGAGCCAGGGCTTGTAATATTTGTATGGTATTTGGCTAAGCTGCTGCTATAGAGGATTTCTTTTAACTTTAGCTGACATTATATAAATCCCAGATTGCTATTCATAGAGAGTTTATATATATTCACTGTCTATCTACTGGTAAATCTGTCCATCAATTCATCTGTACGTTTATCTCTGTCTGTCTGTGTGTCCTTCCTTTCACCTGTCCATCTGATCACATGTCTACTCTTCCATCCGGTCAATCCTATCCAATCCTATCTTCTGTCTGTCCTTTCATCTATTTATCAAGCAGATCGGACTATTTGCTAGTCCAAGCAGACGGTTGGAATGGACAGACGTACATTCATCATTCCCTTTTATAGGCTCGTTCCTCTGTTCATCCATCAATCTGTCCATTCTCACATATGTCTGCCTTTTCAGGCTTTTATGCCTCCATTCCCTTTTATTTGTCAGTTACTATGTTAACATGCCTCTTTATCCGTTGAACAATGTGTCCATGTGATCTAGCATCATCTTTGACTCAGCCTGTTCTTTGGATCATATATGTATATATATCAATAGGTTTATCCATGCGCCCATCCTGTCATTTCTCTATCTAGGTGTCTGGATTGATTTAACTTGGAATGTTTTAGACAGCTCTCAAGTTTCAGTTCATCGATAATGTGTTCTATTTTAATAAACCAATTTAAAATTCTTATAGGTATCTAGACTATTTTATATATCTTAAGATGTCGATTTTCGCTTACACTGTCCAAAAATATTTTCAGCTAAATGGATATTTCACATTTTGAAGTTTTAAATGCTTCTTCTTGAATAGATTAAAGTACTTCCGACACTCGCATCACTTTCCACAGATAATATTCATTTACTTTTTCACCACTTTCGCTTAGAAAGGCCTATGACATTTCACTATTTTAGCTCTATTGACAATACAAGATCCCACACACATATATCTCATATGAACACCCATGCCAGTTCCTGTATCTGCTTCCCTGTCGATTTCAGATATGCATAACAATGCTGAAAATTAGCGAAGCAGAAAGGCATGGAAAAATGTCATGTTCACACATGTATTGTACACACATACATATATTGTTAATACGTGCCAGAAACATTCGCACTTGTTTGTTTAGTTGATTGCAAAACACATTGTGAACAAACAGCCTGGAGCTGTGCGATTTTTTCGCCTCACATAGGCCTAAATGGATGGATAATGGAGGTGGATTGAATCGTTTGGCACACGTGCAGGTGAAGGGCTACTTTGCGGGAAGCTCAAAATTAATGAACTACAAAAGACGCTGATTTGCATATGCAAATCCGGAAGCATTTGTGCCGTGCGGCTGTAGTGCGGCTGGCGAACAAGTTTCCAGCAGATGAGCTGAGATGAAAGATTTGTCAACTGCAGCACCGTCAGCTCGACAACTGACACTGTGAATGGGTCTAATTTGATGAATACTCTGTTTAGAGGCATGTGTGGGGTTGTGCAGGGTTTGTTTTCACACTGTCTCTCTCTCTGGATTAAGTTGAATTACTTTGAAGGTAGTTGGGAGTGGGAGAGTTGAATGGATCGGAGATGCAAGCGAAGACCACAAATATTGGTATATTCCATTTAAAGTGTGGACTCAGGGTATATTCATTTTAACTGAGAAGTAAGAGAGTCCGATGTAGACGTGATTGAGTATTCTTATTATTCCTCCGTAAATCTATCTATCCGTCCGTCATTCCGACCCGCTAGTTCTGCCAACAGTTCTTCAAATCTTCCGTCCATCTTTCCTTTTATCATCTGCTTCTTAGTTCGTTCATCTATCTGTCCTGCTTTTCTTGTGTTGATCCATTTGTCCTTCCGTACATTAGTCCTTCTGTTCAACCACCTGTAAGTCCGTCCCTCCGTACTGCCTCTATCTTATTCCGTCTGTCAGTAGGTCTGGTCATCCTCAAGGAGCTAGAGACTTGTATTTTAGCAGGTTTCAAATAATCGATAACTGTTTTCCTATCAAACATCGATAAGTATCGATATTCCAAGTTTTTGTTGATCATATAATCGAATGCTTTAATTGCTACAGTATCTAAATTTAATTTGATTTTCCCAAATCTTCTTCAGTTCGCTCACTCCTTTCATAGTAAAGCCAATCCATATACGCCTTGGCAATCCTGTTGAGAAGCAACAAAGCTCTCAAGTATCTGTTTATCTGTTCATCTCTCTTTTTAGTTTGAGTTACCGTACTTTTATCACATGAGCATACGTGCTGAAGCCATAGAGAGCCTTGAGTACATTTAATCCTCGCCTGGCAAAGAAAAATTCATATATAAATATTTCTTTTTTCACACTTTAGCTCTAACAAATTTCTCCGTTGTCTTCGATGTGTGTGTGTGTGTTGGTGCTTGCGTGCTTTGTGTCTGGCATTGTTGACAGCTTAAGATTTTGATAAGTCATTGAAAAGTGTGTCTATAAGCACTCAAACTTTCAAGTGGCATTCGCTCGCCCGCTGTGGACTGACAATAGACTCTCTCCGACTTTTTCAGCGACTGCTGATGTCTTTAGCCAATCGACACTCCGGGCTCCGCCCCTGCTTCGCCCCTTTATTGCCTTTTTTTAATTTGTTTGAATATTAGTTGCAAAGGGAATTATTGAAATTTGAGTGGACTTCAAAGAAGCCAAAGCCGATTGCACAAAATTGAATTAAAAGACAATGTGCAAAGCGAAGAGCGAAGAGTGAACGGCGAACTGGGGCGCATCCCCATCGCCTTGCAGCCGAGCACAAAGCGTGATTTATGTGACTTATGTGCTGGCTTAGTCCCAGTCCAGTAGCACCAATAGAAGCAGCAGCAGCAGCAGCGACGGCAGCTTGTTTGCCAAATCCTCCAAAAATTATACATACATATTGAATCGACCCTTGCCGCGAACTTATCTGGAAGCAACCCCAAAACAGCTTGTGCATATGAAACAAATATCGTTTGTTAAATGCGTTGTAAATATGCTTTTTTTTTTTCGTTCCCCAGCTGCCTGTAGACGCAAAAGTTATTCGCATAGGGGGATCACAGACTTGACAATTGGCAACGATTCCAGAAGACTCTACAGAGGTAGTATTTCCATTGCTATAATAATTGAATATGGGAAAAACTTAATATATTAAGTCAGAGTAGTTTTTGGGGTCGATAAGTAGACCATAGGGATTTCATAGATGCTAACAAACTTCGGTGGATGAGAACTATTATAAGTCAAGTGCGGAAGAGGAGATGGGGGAGTAGAAATCCTATGAATTGCGGAAGCTTGAACTTCATTTATGGGCGAGCATCGGAAGATCAAAGACACTATGTAAATCTCAGTTCTCTTTGGAACCAAAGCTGAAAAGCTATGTAGATCTGCATAGTATTTAATATTTGTCAACTTAGCATAAGGAAGACTATTCAGATATGTAGACCGTCTCATGAAGTCAAGAGGAATGATGGATCACAGAGGTATGCCATATGTTATATGCAAAATATAAAGATCTCTTAACAAACAACAACATCATACTCTATACAATAGAATCGCTAAGCTTTTCTTACTTTAATTTCATTGATCTGAACTCTCTTACAGATATTTAGTTGTAGTAGATAAATAAATATTGATAGAGGAGGCGAAGTAGAGCTCACCCGAATAATTTCCACATTTATTGCTCCTCACTTCTTAGTCTGATATAGTGCGTTAAGTGCTCTTGGCAGCGCATCTATTAGTCGTCTTTATTTCACATTTGACATAGAATCGACTCTCGGGCATCTTTCATGCGCAGAATTTGTTGCTCCAATGGACACTGGTGGTAAGCGAAGTCTCTGTTGGTGCCGCACTCGCTTGGGCTCGTGGTAATAATTCTAGATTTATGAAAATTGTTTTCCCGTTAATGTTTACTATGTTTTCGACATTTTTATTATTGTTGCTCTGGGCTCACTCGCTTGCTGGTTGCATGGAGAGAGAGAGAGAGAGAGAGAGTGAGAGAGAGAGAGGGAGAGAAAGAGAGAGTGAGAGAGAGAGAGAAGGGCAGCATTCGCACGCCGAAAATAAGCAAAGTGAATTGTATTTCGGGGCCACGGCGATGGCTAAAAATAAGTGAGTAGCTTGTGAACGGGTATGACTGACTGTCCAATACACGTCTGCCATGGCAAAACTGTGCTCATAAGAGAAGCGAGAAATGTGAGAGACTTTCCAGCTGAGAGGAAATTTCCAAATCTTCAACTTGATTCACAAAGCCAATATGCTCGCTTGACCTTGTGAATGGGCATTGAAACTGTGTGCAGCAGCCACTCGGCACACCCCAAAATTTGAAAATCACAAAAAGCTGACCTTATATTTTGACTACACCCACACGCGTGTGGGTGTGTGTGTGTGGGTGTGTGTGCCGAAATACTGCGAGTGAGTGAAATGTATTTGAAACACTTTGCTCATTGCGGGGCTGTAATATGAAACTTTTCGGCTTGAGTTTTGTTTTCTTGAAAGGGTTGCGCACTTTGATTAAATTTTGTGCATTGCACGCATAAATCGTGAGCCCCAACCGGGGCTGAGCAGGCCAAGTTTTTGAGTTTATGGCGCGTGAGCAGTTAAATCGAGACGAGTTGCCATCGACTTTAATCGAGGCGGCTCTCTGTTGCCTAGCTGCAATCGAGCCAGTGTTCTTAGCCATTGACAGCCAAATACCTATTGATGAATGAGCGTGCGGAGCGGCTCGGACTGCCATAAATAATCAGTTCCGCCTCAGAATCAGCATGCATTTGAATTGAATGATGGATTGGGTGTAAGTGGGCCTGAATGCTCGCATTACACATTTGGCTAACGGCACTTTTGGCAACATTCGGTCAACTATGAATAATTCTTAGTTCATCCCACAGACTCGATTGCTGTGAAACGAATTTAAGTGGACAACAACTGGAGTCTGATATCAGAAAGACATCTTAAACGTCTGGAATGTATCGGG